TAGCTTTTGAACGTTTTCTTTCAAAACTTAATAACTCCACGCTGGGTTATCCGATTTTTATCTTTTTTTTACTAAAATGTTCATCGCGACAAGCTTGACTCAAAACCGCCGGGGTTTTTTTGATTTGTTCCGATATATTCATTTTAGAGCCTTGGAAAGAAAACTTAACATAGAAAATTTGACAAAAATGCACTTTGCTCAAAATGAGCCAGACAAAATTTCAAATAACTACGATTTTTGAATTCTCCATAATTTTTTGCATCTAGTACGCATTTTTACAGAATTTTTTGTTAGAAAACACTTTTTTGCCTTATTTCGCGCCGATGTGTATTGGAAAAGAACCCCATTTGCGAGCCGAGTGAAGACTCCGGAACTTTTCTAGGTCAGGCTTGGCTTCCGGCCTGCGTCCTGGTCTTGCCTGTTTTCAGGGACGGGCCAGAAGGCAGAATCTGGATGACAGAAGGCCTGATCTGGCCTACAGTAACCCAGTGTTATTTTAACCGGCAACTGATCAACCGACCAGTACAGACACCGGAACTTTAGCGCCTTTTAATAAAGAAATGAAGGAATTTGCAAGAAAAGTAGATTTCTGAAGAGGGGATTGAACCCTCGAGGTTTTGCTTTCCGGGCAATTGCACTGACTAGGGAAGGTCGTCAACTTAAGGTGGAATTCCAAAATGAGACCAATCTGATCCTGTTCAGTTTTTGACAGGCTTTCCGAATCCGCTTTTAGTTTTTCCTAAATGAGTTGCAAACGCAAGAAATTTGGTTTTAAAGTTTTCGCTTTGTAAGACTTTCTCGCTTGCTTTATAATAAGTAGAGAATTTCGAGAGCAAAACCTTCAGAGAAAAAAGTTGTGTCAAAAAAAATGTGTCTTTCGAAACATTTTCATGTTAAATTTGAATTTCTGTAGCAAATGCTAAATCTAAATTCTCTAAAGTCTTATTGTTAAATATGGAATTTTCAAAAAATGCACCAGAAATGAATGACCTGGCGGAGCCGAATTTCAAAAGATTTCTCCACGATTTTTCAATAAATGTTTTGTCACCAATCTGCAATGAAAGAAGTTTACTAAATAAGAAAAATAAGATACAAATTAGGTTTGCTCACCGTCAAGTCGTTTTTGGTACCTTTTTGAAACGTCTATATTCCGCGCCGAAACGATTGTTGCAAAATTCTTTTTATATCGTTAAAAAGAGAAGATATTGGAGTTTCTAAAAATACCAATCAACCTGCATCATCTTTACTTACAGTCGTTTTATGGTGGCTTTTTTGACCAGCAGTTTTTTCTTTTGCAAGTTTCTAAAAGCACTTTTGCACCTAATAGCAATGTCGGTAAACGCCTGATATTATAGTGTCATTCTATCAGTACTCTGGCTAAAGCTCGAGTAATGCTGGCTATTTAGGCCTATTTGGGGACTAGGCTTAGGCTTAGGCTTAGACTTAGACTTAGACTTAGGCTCAGGCTCAGGATAAGGCTTAGATTCAGGCTTAGACTCAGGCTTAGGCTTAGGCTCAGGGTCAGGATAAGGCTTAGATTCAGGCTTAGGCTCAGGCTTAGACTCAGGCTTAGGCTTAGGCTTAGACACGGGCTTAGGCTCAGGCTTAGATTCAGGCTTAGGCTTAGATTCAGGCTTAGGCTCAGGCTTAGGCTTAGGCTTAGGCTCAGGGTCAGGATAAGGCTTAGATTCAGGCTTAGGCTTAGACACAGGCTTAGGCTTAGGCTCAGGCTTAGGCTTAGGCTTAGGCTTAGACTTAGACTCAGGCTTAGACTCAGACCCGTTTACATCAAATCTCATCCAACAACTTGAACCTATTTGGGGACTATTGCTGCCTATTTAGGCCTATTTTGGCCTATTTTGGCCTATTTGGCCCTATTTTGGCACTCGTTTGCCAGAAATCATTGGGATGACGTTACGAGGCTATTGACTAGTTTTTCGGGGGAAAGAGCTGAAGAATGGGAGGAAAGGTGAGATGGGAGGCGAGCTCAATCTGGGGAAAGGAAGCGAAAGAAGGGTGCGCAACGATGCAACGATTGCCCCCAGGACCCTAGTGGGGCAAGAGAAGAAAGGGGAAAAAACTCAGGGCCTCTTTTTTTTCGTCTCTCTTCTCACCGGGAATCGATGAGCCGGGCTCCACCTCTGTCTGTTGGGTCCAGGGTCTACTCTGCTCCCTGCGCACCCCCTCAGAGTCCCTTTCCCCAATCCTTTCCCCGATCTTCTTCCCTCCTTTCAGCTTTCCCTCAACTTTTGTTCCCCCTAACTACTCTTGAGACTTGCGAAACGTTTTTGATCTATTTTTTTAGCTATTCAATCGTTTTTTAGCTATTTAATTGTTTTTTAGCTATTCAATCGTTTTTTAGCTATTCAATTGTTGTTTTTGAGTCCTCTTTGATCTAGCTTTGTCTTTTAGCGTGATTTTCTTGACTTGTTAATCAATTAATCAATTTCTAAACAATTTTCAAACTCTTCAAACCCAACTCAACCTCTATTTTTCAGGAAAATGCGTGACTCGATCCGATTGTCCCATCTCCTACTCATCATTTCCATTTCGATTTCCCATTTTCCCGAATCGATCTCCGCAATTAAATGTGCGTCATGTGAAGGAGAGAGATGCAGAGGGAAAAGCTGTCAAGGAGACTATTGTGTCATATCGAGGTGAGTGAAAAGATTTTCGAGATAAAACCCCCGTAAAAAACTCTAATAGAAACCCCCGGCTATAGGAGCGTTGCGTAGTCTATCCTCGATTCTCTTAAAAAAAACTATCTCAGTATCTCAGCTCATACCTCAGCAGTAGTACGTTTGTTTCCGCGCGCTTTGATATCAAATTAAAGTAGAGAAAATGGGTGATTTTTTGAGATATAACACAGATTTCTAACATTAACCAGCGCTTAGAAAAACGATTGAAAAGTGGCAAGCTGATTTTTCATCATTTCTCGTGAATTTTGACGTTTGATACGTCATTTGACTCAAAAAAAATCAAATTCTGCCATTATTAGAAGCTTGTTGAAGTCATTTTGATGATCGATCGATCGATCTCGATCATTTTGTTGTCCAATCCTGCAAGAATTCGATCATTTTCGTGATTCTCAAACTGCTTCACAGTAAACAAATACTCATCCGTGAAAAGAATTGATGAGGCATTTGCCGGAGTTGGGAAACGTTTGAGCACCTTCTTGCAACGGTCAAAACGGCTCACTATCATGCGGTCGGTTGAGTGGGCTTTTTCGAAAGCTTTTATGGATATTTGTGAAGCTTCTTGTCAACATGAACAATTGAACGAACAGATCTTTCGGAAATTTTCTCTTCTCCGGTCATTTGGCTTCTCCGGCTTCTCTTCTTGGATAGCATCGACCATCGATCAATCCTTTCTCGGACTCGTTTCACAATTCCTGGACTAGTGACTGTTTTTGGTCGTCCCGAATCGTTTGCTGAACCGGTAAGCTTGATTCTCTTCACTCAATCGAAAACGGTGCTCTTTGAAATGGCGAGTTGTTCAGCGAGTTGTTCGGCGAGTTGTTCGGCGAGTTGTTCGACGAGTTGTTCGACGAGTTGTTCGACGAGTTGTTCAGCGAGTTGTTCGACAAGTTGTTCAGCGAGTTGTTCGACGAGTTGTTCGACGAGTTGTTCAGCGATTTGGTCCTCCTCTTCGATAACGGTCCTACTCCGGATTTCGATAGAAACTCAATTCGGTCGAAGATTTCTCGCGCAAGCCATTGAGCCATTGAGCCATTCGACCAGCCATTGAGCCATTCGACAAACCATTGAGCCATTCGACCAGCCATTGAGCCATTCGACAAGCCATTGAGCGATTCGACAAGCCATTAAGCCATTCGACAAACCATTGAGCCATTCGACCAGCCATTGAGCCATTCGACAAGCCATTGAGCGATTCGACAAGCCATTAAGCCATTCGACAAACCATTGAGCCATTCGACCAGCCATTGAGCCATTCGACAAGCCATTGAGCGATTCGACAAGCCATTAAGCCATTCGACAAACCATTGAGCCATTCGACCAGCCACTGAGCGTCTATCGAAGCCATCTAAATAGTTCTATTAAGAAAGAAAGTAAAACAAAACAAAACACAATAAAACACAAAAACAAAATAAGCAAGAGCAAGCAAAACAAAATTAGCAAAAGCAAAGTTACCCGGTCAGCAGACTAGAAGATCGCCTAAAAAAGCGCGATTCGATTTGGGGAAGTTTTTACGCAAATTTTTCACCTATTTGATGACGATAAATTTTGTTAATTATTCAAGGACGAACTTAAAGAACTTAAAGAGCCAAGAACTAGAAAGTTGAGTTGATTCGTCGCTTCTTTTTTTGAGTGAAATGACGGTGACGTCATTTGACGCCAAATGACGTCACACATTTGACGCCAAATGACGTCATACATTTGACGCCAAATGACGTCATACATTTGACGCCAAATGACGTCACCGTCATTTGACGCCAAATGACGTCATACATTTGACGCCAAATGACGTCATACATTTGACGCCAAATGACGTCACCGTCATTTGACGCCAAATGACGTCACCGTCATTTGACGCCAAATGACGTCACCGTCATTTGACGCCAAATGACGTCATACATTTGACGCCAAATGACGTCACACATTTGACGCCAAATGACGTCATACATTTGACGCCAAATGACGTCACCGTCATTTGACGCCAAATGACGTCACACATTTGACGCCAAATGACGTCACACATTTGACGCCAAATGACGTCATACATTTGACGCCAAATGACGTCATACATTTGACGCCAAATGACGTCACACATTTGACTTCACACGTCAAAATTCACCAGAAAACGCTTTTTTTTCGTTATTTCATGCGGATTTGAGCCGTTTTATTAGAATTTTTAGCAAAAATAGCAAAAATAAGCAAAAGAATAGCAAAAATAGCAAAAACATAGCAAAAGAATAGCAAAAATAGCAAAAACATAGCAAAAAAATAGCAAAAATAGCAAAAACATAGCAAAAATAGCAAAAATAAGCAAAAGAATAGCAAAAATAAGCAAAAGAATAGCAAAAATAGCAATAAATAGCTTCTCTTTTCAAAACCCTAACCACATTTTTGCAGATTCGTTCCCCGTTGGGGCACTGTTGAATACCACAAATCGATGCTGGTCAAGGGTTGCATGGATGGGAGTTTACTGAGAGAAGATATTCGAGATCATTGTGAAGTCTCCGAAGCCGATGAGGTTCGTGCTAATTCTTTCATTAACTACGGTAAATCTCCCAAATTCACTAAGGCTTTCGAATCTCCCAAATTCACCCCATAAACCTGTCAATTTTCCCCTCTCTTTTCCCCATTTGCAAATCATTTATTCCTTTCATTTCCCCCCAAAAAAAAAGAATTGCCTTGTTCTGGTGAAATTCGAGAAGGAAAATGAGAAAAATGGGGAAAATGAATGTCTAGAGCTGAAACAAGAAAAGACAACAACCCGGGGAAAAAGCTTTACTTTGCTGCACTTCACTGCATAAAGCTCCAATTTATGCTTTAATTTTGTAAACCCAAGTCTTCTAGGGCACTGAATTCTTCAATTTTCTTGTAGAATAGAGAAAATTCGAGAATTTGGTTCACCAGAAAAGCTCAAAGTAGAGCATAAAGTAGAGACCAAAGTAGAGCCCAAAGTAAAGCTCAAAGTAAAGCTCAAAGTAAAGCTCAAAGTAGAGACCAAAGTAGAGCCCAAGTAAAGCCCAAAGTAAAGCTCAAAGTAAGGCCCAAAGTAAGGCCCAAAGTAGAGCTCAAGTAAAGCCCAAAGTAAGGCCCAAAGTAGAGCCCAAGTAAAGCTCAAAGTAGAGCTCAAAGTAAAGCCCAAAGTAGAGCCCAAAGTAGAGACCAAAGTAGAGCTCAAAGTAAAGCCCAAGTAGCCCAAGTAAGGCCCAAAGTAGAGCCCAAGCAAAGCTCAAAGTAAAGCTCAAAGTAAAGCTCAAAGTAGAGACCAAAGTAGAGCCCAAGTAAAGCCCAAGTAGCCCAAGTAGAGTCCAAAGTAGAGTCCAAAGTAGAGACCAAAGTAGAGACCAAAGTAGAGCTCAAAGAGAGCATAAAGCTCATTTCTTTCAGGAACTCTTCACTTGTTTTTGCAATGGGAAAGACGATTGCCAAGCTGGGTCAAGGTGGAATAAGTTGAAGACAGAAGACGTGCCATTGGTGAGTGTTTTTGGTGCACTAGATGCGGTGCGTTTACAACTTCAAAGTACAAGTACTTGAGCTCAACGATCAATCACTTTTTCAGGTGAAATGCGAATGTAAAGGCGAACACTGTGACGGGGATGAGTGTATCGGCGAGTTGTGCACATATGTGGAATACAAGGGGAAAGATGGGAAAAGTGTGCAAAAGGTAACTTTATGTACTTAAAGTACAAAAGGTACTTAAAAACTACGGTAGCTTTACGGCGAACTTTTTGTTTACTGAAAAGACACTAAATTTCTGGTTTCTGTACCGTCTCGGTTGATCAATTGCCGGTCAAAATAACACTGGGTTACGGTAGCTGGGTTACTGTAAGCCAGATGTAAGCCAGAGGGAAGCCAGAAGCCAGAATTTGGACTCTGGCCTGTCCCTGCCAAGCCGGTAGCCAAGCCTTAGCCTGACTTAGCCTGACTTAGCCCTGAATCCCTTCAGACTTTATCACAGGCTTGAACTTCACTCCTAGCCCCGCTTAGAGTCGAAAGATCCTTGGGATTAAGTCTTGTATATTAGATTTTCACTGCTTAAATTAGATTTTCACTCCACACACACCCAAATTTACTCCTTAAGACTCCTTAAGACTCCTCAAGACTCCTTAAGACTCCTGAAGACTCCTGAAGACGCCTTAAGACTCCTTAAGACTCCTTAAGACTCCTTAAGACCCCTTAAGACGCCTTAAGACTCCTTAAGACTTCTTAAGACTTCTTAAGACTCCTTAAGACTTCTTAAGACTCCTTCAGACTCCTTAAGACTTCTTAAGACTTCTTAAGACTTCTTAAGACTCCTTAAGACTTCTTAAGACTCCTGAAGACTCCTGAAGACTCCTTAAGACTCCTTAAGACTCCTCAAGACTCCTGAAGACTCCTGAAGACTCCTTAAGACTCCTTAAGACTCCTTAAGACTTCTTAAGACTCCTGAAGACTCCTGAAGACTCCTTAAGACTCCTTAAGACTCCTCAAGACTCCTGAAGACTCCTGAAGACTCCTTAAGACTCCTTAAGACTCCTTAAGACTTCTTAAGACTCCTGAAGACTCCTGAAGACTCCTTAAGACTCCTTAAGACTCCTTAAGACTTCTTAAGACTCCTGAAGACTCCTGAAGACTCCTGAAGACTCCTTAAGACTTCTTAAGACTCCTTAAGACTTCTTAAGACTTCTTAAGACTCCTTAAGACTTCTTAAGACTCCTTAAGACTCCTTAAGACTCCTTAAGACTCCTGAAGACGCCTTAAGACTCCTTAAGACTCCTTAAGACTCCTTAAGACTCCTTAAGACTTCTTAAGACTTCTTAAGACTCCTCAAGACTCCTCAAGACTCCTTAAGACTCCTTAAGACTCCTTAAGACTCCTTAAGACTCCTTAAGACTCCTTAAGACTCCTTAAGACTCCTTAAGACTCCTGAAGACTCCTTAAGACTCCTGAAGACTCCTTAAGACTCCTTAAGACAAATTACGTTAAGACAATTTAAGAGTTGAACACGCCGGTCCTTTTATGGATTGGTGGCTGGGTCGGCGCTGGGATTCGAACCCGCGTAGGCCTGATGCGTAGGGCCTGATGCTTTACCTAGAACTTTAAGTTGCCTCCCAGATCGCCCAATTTACAAAAAATTATCCGAAAATCTTGAAAACTGCCGCTAAAAAGCGCCCAATCTTTCACGTCAGTACCCCTACAGTACCCCATTTACCGTAACGGGCCGAATAAACCACCTAGGACTTTAAGTTGCCTTCCAGATCGCTTAATTTACAAAAAATTATCTTAAAATCTTGAAACCTGTCGCTAAAAAGCGCCCAATCTTTCACGTCAGTATCCCATTTATCGTAACGCGCCAAGTAACTTTAAGCTGTTACTTAGAACTTTAAGTTGCCTCCCAGATCACCCAATTTTCAAATAATTATCTTAAAATCTTAAAATCTACACCTAAAAAAGTGTCCAATCTTTAACTTCAGTGTTAGTTGCTCAGCTAGTTGCTCAGCTAGTTGCTCAGCTAGTTGCTCAGCTAGTTGCTCAGCTAGTTGCTCAGCTAGTTGCTCAGCTAGTTGCTCAGCTAACACTTGCTTCCTAAAGCGCGGAAGATTTTCGAGAAAGAGAAAGCTCTTTGGGAACCTTAAAGCCTACAGTTCTGTTGGTTTTAGATAAAAGTTAAGCCTTAATCTTTTTTCATAAATCCTTATTCCCCATTTACTAGACAAACTGTTCCAGGGTTGTCTAAACGCCTCGATTCCGATTCTCGAGCGTCGCAGTGTCGGCGCTTGTATGGTGCCGCCGATTACCGGTTTGTTATCAGTCAAAGAAATATCGGTTAAAGGAATATCAGTCAAAAAGTTTTCTCTATTTCTAAAAACGGTTCCAATACGGTTCCAGTACGGTTCTTTTTTATCTAATACGGTTCCAATAACGTCAATACGGTTCCAATACGGTTCTTTTTTTGATCCAATACGGTTCCAATAACGTCAATACGGTTCCAATACGGTTCCAGTACGGTTCTTTTTTTGATCCAATACGGTTCCAATACGGTTCCAGTACGGTTCCAGTACGGTTCTTTTTTTGATCCAATACGGTTCCAATACGGTTCCAATACGGTTCCAATACGGTTCCAATACGTTTCCAATACGGTTCCAATACGGTTCTTTTTTTGATCTAATACGGTTCCAATAATGTCAATACGGTTCCAGTACGGTTCCCATACGGTTCTTTTTTGATCCAGTACGGTTCCAATAACGTCAATACGGTTCCAATACGGTTCCAATACGGTTCCAATAAGGTTCCAATACGGTTCCAATACGGTTCTAATACGGTTCTTTTTTTGATCCAATACGGTACCAATACGGTTCCAGTACGGTTCCAGTACGGTTCTTTTTTTTGATCCAATACGGTTCCAATACGGTTCTTTTTTTGATCTAAAACGGTTCCAATACGGTTCTAATACGGTTCTAATACGGTTCTTTTTTTGATCCAATACGGTTTCAATACGGTTCTTTTTTTGATCCAGTACGGTTCCAATACGGTTCTAATATGGTTCTTTTTTTGATCTAATACGGTTCCAATAACGTCAATACGGTTCCAATACGGTTCTTTTTTTGATCCAATACGTTTCCAATACGGTTCTTTTTCTAAATTTCTATTTCAGGAGCGATGCATCATCACATGAAATCCGATCCGGTCGATTTATTGAGAACCGAGAGTTGCATTTGTGGTGAGGCTTTAGAAAAATGGGTTTAGAAAAATGGCTTTAGAAAAAATGGCTTTAGAAAAATCGACTAGACAAACTGTTCTATTCATAAAAGACTCTCAAGTACAGTACTTGTTTTGTTCTTTGTGCTTTACTTGCTCTCAAAAGTACCCTTTCTAGCAGACTGATTTAAACGTACCCTTTCTAGCAGACTGCTTTCAACGTTGAAAATCTCGGTGAACCAGACGGGATTTGTTTACACACAAAGTTGCCTAGGCCTACCATTTTGGTGTACTTTGTGCTCGCGTGTAAACGCGCCTTTCTGGAGCACCGAATCCTTCATTTCCCTCATTTTCTTCGCTTTTTTTTTTTCATTTTCTTCGCCTTTTTTTCATTAAACTTATCTAGGCACCGATTTCTGCAATCGAAAAAAGCTCAAAGTGACTCAGGTGGAGAACTCGAAATGCAAAATGTACGCTAAATACGAAGTGCACGGGAAATTGGTGGGTTTATGAAGGAGAAATCTCCAAAAAAACCCTAACAGAACGTCGAGGGACGTCGCGGAGCGTCGCGTAGTCGTTAAGATAGTCGAAGTGTTAAACAAACAGAGTCTTAAACAAATGCTCATATCTCAGCAGTCGTACGCTTGTTTCCGCGCGCTTTGCTATCAAATTAAAGTAGAGAGAATGGGGGATTTGTTGAGATATAAAACAGATTTCTAGCATTAACCAGCGCTTAGAAAAAAATGATTGAAAAATGGCAAAAAATAATTTTTCATCAATACCCGTTAGCAAATCCCGTTCTGGAAGGGGAAATAGGAATTACTAAATCCCCTTTTTGGAAGGGGATTTAGTAATTCCGATTTGCTATGTGCAAAGGAGCGATACGCTTAGCATGGGCATGCTTTTTGTGCTCTAACTTTGTCGCTTTTGCTGCTCGGATGAGATAAATCCAAAGCGTCCCTGAGCGGACCAAAGCGTCCCTGAGCGGACCAAAGCGTCCCTGAGCGAACCAAAGCGTCCCTGAGCGGACCAAAGCGTCCCTGAGCGAACCAAAGCGTCCCTGAGCGAACCAAAGCGTCCCTGAGCGGACCAAAGCGTCCCTGAGCGGACCAAAGCGTCCCTGAGCGGACCAAAGCGTCCCTGAGCGGACCAAAGCGTCCCTGAGCGGACCAAAGCGTCCCTGAGCGGACCAAAGCGTCCCTGAGCGGACCAAAGCGTCCCTGAGCGGACCAAAGCGTCCCTGAGCGGACCAAAGCGTCCCTGAGCGGACCAAAGCGTCCCTGAGCGGACCAAAGCGTCCCTGAGCGGACCAAAGCGTCCCTGAGCGGACCAAAGCGTCCCTGAGCGGACCAAAGCGTCCCTGAGCGGACCAAAGCGTCCCTGAGCGGACCAAAGCGTCCCTGAGCGGACCAAAGCGTCCCTGAGCGGACCAAAGCGTCCCTGAGCGGACCAAAGCGTCCCTGAGCGGACCAAAGCGTCCCTGAGCGGACCAAAGCTCCGTAAACTTAGACTACGCGACACTCCTATAGGAGGCCGTTCTATTAGAGTATTTACGGTATCTACGGCCAAGTTTCGTTCAGATAATTTGTTAAAGTTAAATTTGTTAAAGCCAATTTGTTAAAATTTCAGATGGAATCGAAAGAGCACGAGTGCAAAGGAGAGTACTGTTTTGAGGTGAATTTCTTGGAAATTTTTGAATCTTACTAGGGAAAGGAGGCACGAACTGGTACTATTAGGTGGATGCACAAGTCTTTTTGTTCCTTTTCGTCTGCCGTTTCAAGCCAACAAATGCACCAATTAAACTACGGTTGATTTCATTAGAAAAACCAATTATTAGGTTGATGCATAAGTCTTTTCGTTTTGTTTCGTACTTCTGTTAAAAAGTAACAAATTCACCAATTAATCTATAGTTTGCTCTATAAAAAAAGGGTTTTTTTTTGTTTAATTTGCATCTTTTTAAATGAATTTCGATTCACTTTCAAGCAAATTCGAGAGTGAAAAACGCCTTTTTCGTAAAAATCTATAAAAAACTCTACGGAAAAATTGGCTGAATGAATTTCTCTGAAATTTTGGCGAAATATCAAACGTTTTTTTTCTCTATCTTTTATCTATTGACACGAAGATAGGTTTTCTTTAGCTAACTGCACGTGTGGCTGACTGGTTAAGTGTCTTTTATCTTAATCGGAAGGTCGAGGGTTCGAACCCCACATGCGACATGGTCACCCCCCTTCGGATTTCCTTTCCCTTCGGGTTGAGAGGTTTTCTGGAGGGCAGTCTGGTGGTTGTGGCCCCAGTTCTTTAAAGTGACAAGCCACTCCTTCATCGTCATCTTCCCTTCACCACCAAAAAAGCTATTTAGTTCCCCATTGAGCTTAGGGTTAGGGAGCCGTCTGTCATGACGTGGGTTAAGTTAAGATATAGCCTAGTATTGTGTGCGTCGTTGTATTGTGATTGATATATTTCGTGTATGCGATAAATTCACCACTGGTAGCCCCAGTCGGTTTTTTTTTAAGGTGTCTAAACCGCATCATCGAGTTAGCCCTTTTTGACTACCCGACTTCATACTCTCAAGAAAATCCAGGCATTAAATATTTTTAAACCCGTTTTAATCTTATTTTGCAGAAAAATAATTGATTTTTCTAATGAAATCAACCGTAGTTTAATTGGTGCATTTGTTGGCTTGAAACGGGAGACGAAAAGGAACAAAAAGACTTATGCATCAACCTAATAATAGGGAATGGCACGAACTGGTACTATAATCAAATATCTAACTAGGGAAAAGCACGAGCTTCCCGTGAGCTTTCGTTTCCGAACCACATACATCATACTGAATCGAGTATGGAGAGATCGACTAAATCATAATCTGAAATCATAATCTGGGGGTGGGACAAAGGTGCACCTTTTTTTTGCGCACCTGGACATTTGCGCACCTTTTTTTTGCCGGAAAAGGCCTTAGGAAAGGTCGTAGAGCTTCAAAAATGTTTCGATATAAGGGAATCGTATGCGTAGATTCCGAATTTCGACAAATCAAACCTCGCTGACACGTTAAATTTAGGCTAAAAGGCAAAAACTACGCAACTTAACGCTTTTCCGCAGTTTTTGCCTTTTAGCCCAAATTTGAAGTGTCAGCGAGGTCTGATTTGTCGAAATTCGGAATCTACGCATACGATTCCCTTATATCGAAACATTTTTGAAGCTCTACGACCTTTCCTAAGGCCTTTTCCGGCAAAAAAAGGTGCGCAAATGTCCAGGTGCGCAAAAAAAAGGTGCACCTTTGTCCCACCCCCCATAATCTTAAATCAAAATCTCCCAAATAAGCTTGCAGACACGTAAAGATTGAATTGAAATTTCGAAGATAAGCTTTAAAGGGTGCTTTTCAATCACTGGGATATGGGCACCGGTGGTCTAGTGAATAGTGGCCTCTCAATCGGTCCAAAGGCCTCTCAATCGGTCCAAAGGCCTCTCAGCCGGTCCAAAGGCCTCTCAATCGGTCCAAAGGCCTCTCAGTCGGTCCAAAGGCCTCTCAATCGGTCCAAAGGCCTCTCAGCCGGTCCAAAGGCCTCTCAATCGGTCCAAAGGCCTCTCAGTCGGTCCAAAGGCCTCTCAATCGGTCCAAACGGCCTCTCAATCAGTCCAAACGGCCTCTCAATCGGTCCAAAGGCCTCTCGGTCGGTCCAAAGGCCTCTCAGCCGGTCCAAAGGCCTCTCAATCGGTCCAAACGGCCTCTCAATCGGTCCAAACGGCCTCTCGATCGGTCCAAAGGCCTCTCGGTCGTAAGATCGCGTCTCGGTCTCGCTTTGGTTTTTTTTCTTTAAATCTAATACAAAACCCATCTACCATACGAAATATCCCAATTTTAGTCATCAATGAACTCTTCAATCTCTCAACTTCAGTCTTTTGCCATGGCAGGATGCGCGAGTTTTGCGTGAGTTCACTTTTTTGTTTTGTTTTTTAGAGCAATTACCGTCCTTGTACAGTATTGAAATTAAAGGTTTTTAAAGATCTCTAAAGGTTTTTTAAAGGTTTTTAAAGGTTTGTAAAGGTTTTTAAAGGTTTTTAAAGGTTTGTAAAGGTTTGTAAAGGTTTGTAAAGGTTTAAAGGTTTTTAACGGTTTAACGGTTTAAAGGTTTTAAAGTTTTAAAGAAACTTTTCTAGTGAAGAGGCTGAACTCGCTGATGAAATGGAACCGGTTGGATGTGCGAGATTCGAAAGTGAGAAGTTGCAAGTGAAAGGATGCTTTACGGTTTGGGTTTTTTTTGATTAAATCTTTTAGATGAGTTTTAAAGTTTAAAGTTTAATATTAGAAGTACAGTACTCCTACCAGCTCCAGAGATTCAGAGCTCCAGAGCTCCAGCTCCGGAGATCCAGAGCTCCAGCTCCAGAGATTCAGAGCTCCAGAGCTCCAGCTCCGGAGATCCAGAGCTCCAGCTCCAGAGATTCAGAGCTCCAGAGCTCCAGCTCCGGAGATCCAGAGCTCCAGCTCCAGAGCTCCAGAGATCCGGGGCTCCAGAGTTCCAGAGCTCCAGAGGTTCAGTAGCTCCAACTCCAGAGCTCCAGAGATCCGAGGCTCCAGAGTTCCAGAGCTCCAGAGCTTCAGTAGTTCCAACTCCAGAGCTCTATTAGCTCCAGCTCCAGAGTTAAGTTACTTAGTTAAATCCTATCCTCGAAGTACAATACTGGACAATGAAATATGATATTTGAAAAACGATTTCGTTCGTCTTCGATTCGTCAAATTCGTCACTTTCGCGCGTCTATAACTCTCTTGTCTTTGAGTTTAAACTATTAGTGTTATACATTTTCTGAAAGCTCTTTTCAAGGGCTACTTCAAGGGCTACACAATCGTAATATTAACATTTAGAAATACGGTAAAGACAAGGGAGTTACAGACGCGCGAAAGTGACGATCGTTTTTCAAATATCATATTTCATTGTCCAGTAGTGTAGATTTACGATAGAAAACTCGTCACAGCCATATTAGTCTCAGCTCAATTGGGTCAGCTATAGGTCAGCTATAGATCAGCTATAGATCAGCTATAGGTCAGCTATAGATCAGCTATAGGTCAGCTATGAATCAGCTAT